CTTTATTACCATTTTTTTTCTCTAACTTCTATTAAAAAAAAATTAAAAATAGAAAGTATTTGTTGGGCCCATTTAGGCCCACTTAGGCCCGGGACCGGCCCACTTAGGCCCGAGACCGTTAGTTCGTGGTCCCGGTCCCGAGCCGGTTCCAGCAATAAGCCCGGGACTGTTTAGGACCGGATCACATAAGACCGGCCCACTTAGGACCGGGCCCACGAAGCCCACTTAGGGCCGGGCCCACGAAGCCCACTTAGGGCCGGGCCTAGCCCATTTGCCACCCTTAGGCTCAGGTCCTCACACTATAACTCGTGATTCTAAGCATTTGCTTTAGGTCTCACACTTTTGGGGCCCAAATTTTACCCATAATAAAGTACTTAGTTAAATTGGTATTAAGTATTTTACATAAAAAAATAATTTAATTTGTGATTGATTTACTGTTTCACCAAAAAAATGGTAATGTGAATCTTCCCCTAAATCCGTCATGTGTGAATAAATTGGGGAGTAGGTTTGACATTTACATTATTGTTTTCTCTCTTTACATTTCCTCAATGGAAAACTTTAAAGTTTAAAAAATTATTTACAATTTTACATATTAAAATATTAAAAATAGACTTTATATAAAATAAATATTAGTTTTTTCATAATTTAAGGCCTCTCGTTAAAGTTTGACTTTAGGTCACCAAACTTATTGAGCCACCCCTGCCGAGGCACTAAAGAAATTTTGTTATCCATGTTTTTTTTTTTCCAACAAACAACTTTTATGAGCTAAAACTCCATAAGTAATGCCAAACTCCATATTAACATTTCGTTGTGATTGCAACTCTAGTCTACACCCGTTTAAATTTAGTAGTTAAGTGTCGCCATAAGTCTTAGGGTGCATTGATTCAAATGACATCCAGTTAGGAGGCATAATAAACCCAGTGTTGCCAATTGACACTACTTCATCAAAAGAAAATTAATTGTATATGTAATATATTTTAAGATATAATATGTAATATATACAATATGTCAATATCGCTAATGTAAAAAAAAAAAATCAAATTACGAAAGGAATTAGAGCCTTAAAATTCCAAAGTCTCACAGTCAAATATGTTTATACAAATGGAATTGTGACAATAGATACACATTACTTGCACAAAATCTAGTGTAACCCTAATCACTCCACAAGTCAATCATTTATTTTCTTCCTTTCTCTTTTATGCTCACTCCACCCCCAAAATATGTTAGTAATAAAATCATCTATTACTCGGACTTCAACGGCATAATTCCCTTTGGACCAGTTCATAGTAATTTGTCAAAAGTGGTACTATTTCTATTCTAAGTCCAACACGTTTGTTTCAATGTGAATCACTGATTACTTTGTTAGTGAAGTGAACGAAACGGGGCCGACATTTTAGTCTTTCTTGTTCACTTATTTTTGTAAGTTGCTGGGTTTGGTGAGATGAGACTGCTAAGACCCTTTATTCTCTGAATAGTGAATATGCCCAGCTTCTACACTCTTTTACCTTTTTCTCAAAACCCATCATTTCATCACTGTTTTATCAACCACGTAGTAAACGATAATCTATTTACCTTAGAATTAGTCAATTTTCAGTTGCAACCACCAAACAATAAAGGAAAAAAAAAAATCGTAGTGTTACATATGTCAACTGGATCGGAGATAGTATGTTCGAAAACAAAAACAAAAAAAATTCCAAATGTCTTGCAGTTAGATTCTGAACTTATGTAGGAAACTCCTACTGATATCACTATAAATCTGTCACTCTAACTTAATGTAAAACATTTTATATGCTCGTTACAACTTTACTTCGAGAAAGAAACTTTTCAAGTTATCAACCTACATTAACTGCGCTACGAATTTAAGTACTCTATTGTAAAAAAAATTTAAACGACATTCATAGATAGTCCTTTAAATGTCTCAATATTTCAGTTAGTAGCCAACTGCAACTCTCAAAACTGACACGTATGTTAATTTAACTTTCAAGAGTTGTTTCTTCTATTAATAGAATGGGTACATATAGAACCCATATACGTGCCGAGTAGAAGAGATATGAAAAAGGAATGTGAGGACAGTGCTTTATATATATATTAATATATTGTCCCGTGAATGGACACCTTGGCATAAAATATTAATATATTATGAAAGAGATACCTAAATACAAACGATAATTCATCAGAACCAGAATGTAATTGCAAAGGATATTTATACTATTATATACAGAAGCCATCTGGGTCAAGACAAGAATTTATATTAAAACAACAAAAGAAAGAAAACCCTCAACGGGCCCCAAAAAAAAAGAAGAAAAAAATGCGACAAAAAGTAAGACCAAAGTATTTCTCCACCCACCCAATAGAGATGGGTGCAGACAAACTTTTCCTATCTATCTGAGGTCCAAACAAGCAAAGCATTATAAGACTCCCCCTTTTTCGTCAAAATCATAACAATAAGATAATACTAGGATGGAGAATCCTATCTTTTATGGCATCACTCTCCCCAGAAAATACATTAAAAAATAAAATAAAAATAAAAAACTGAAAAGCCGAACTTTTCTTGTCTTGCCAGCCAGCATCCTTAACTGAACGAGCCATTCCAGTATGGGCTAATTGTCACGCACTGCATCACTTGTATCTCCAAAAAAACCAAAACTATGACTGATGTCAGATCCATCTTTCTCCACTCCTCTTACACATTATGGGTATTAAGTAACTGGACCCACTTCATGCTTTCTCCTCATTGCTAACAGTTGCACCCGAAACTGGTTTGCCTGGTTTCACGTCGTCAACAGGAAGTTTTATCTTTGGTGACAGTTTTTTGGCTTCCTCAACTGTATAGACGTAAATTTTTCTAACCATGCTGCAGAACTCGCTGTGCCACATTTCCATTACACCAAAAGAATTGAAGTCAGTAGCACATAACAAAAGTTTATCTCAACTAACTAGAACACAGCTGCTTCACAAAACAACTAATTCAAGAACAGAAGGCTCCATTCTTTTATTTTCATCCGTATTGGACTAGAGAGTGAGGAAATGATGCTTTGGGATACGATTTTAACAGGGCAACTACTACATAGTTTTCAATCATATTACCATTCATTTCTGTGCCCAGCATGACTCGTCATGGGAACAATTACTGATTAACCAATTCTAAGAAACTGACAGCTAGTCACAACTTTGCTGGCAAAGACAAAAAGACCACAAAACTAGTACCCCAACAATCATTTTTTCTTTTGCAATAGAGTAAAAAGTAGTTTTAAGAGGCAAGAAAACGACATTTTTGTGGATTGAAACTGATGATGCTGATTACTGTCCATAATCCACATTGCGTGGAAAGTGCAAGTAGTTAACTCCATGCAAGGAATATTGGATGTTTAAGCACAAAATAGTAATCCAAAATAAAACAATGAAACATAATTAAGGTTGTTGGACTTACTGCCATGGATCATCTCCAACCATCATCATGTCATCCTCATCATCTGTGTAGACTACCTGCCATTTCTTGGTCGAATCACGAAGTTCCCCTTCAATTTCAAACATCTCCTCCAATTTCTTAAGCAGATCTTCATAACTATCTAACCTTGTGAGATCAACTGCCCTCCCAACTGCCTTCCCTTGCATATGAACCTAAGCAAAATAACAAGAAGCTCAAGTTAAACAAGGGCACCATAGCAGGTCTATTTCTTCACCAGAAAGGCAATAATCGATACGACTGTCATGGGCTTTTGCAGAGGAAAAAAACCTTTATATACACCAAATATCTTTTAAACTAGTGTCATAACTCAAGCTAGGTGATAACTGTTGGATTAACATTAATCTCTATGCACTGACATTACAAAATCATAATATAGCAAAAATACCGTCCAAATAATCATTTGCTTGTGAAAGAAAGAATTCATAACACAACAAAGTAGAAGGGCTAGAGTACCTTAGTGCAACTGCGGATTTGTTTGCTTTGAGACTCATGGGGAGACCTCAGAGATGACTTTTCAGGCTCACAACTTACTGAAGGAATAGGATTTGATGGTTCTGAGTTTCCAGAATCAACATCTAAAGATGCAGCTGGCTGATTCTCCACAAGAGCACTCGGCATAGCAACTGGTGAAGTTTCATCTACAGTTGGACGATCCAGCAACTCAATTCCGAATAACCTATATCCATTAGCCGGTCTCTTTTCACTAGCCGGTGTGATAGACTCTGTACATGTATCTGATTGACTTGACCAGTACATGGATTTGGAGGAAAGAGGCATGGAACTGTTCTCGCCATAACCCAGACCACTTGCAGCAGAAGAAAGTTTCGGTGATGGGTAGAGATCTCGCCCACGAGATGGATCACAGTATGGGAACGATGATGGAGAATCACCAGGAGACTTCCACATTCCTACAAAATGAGAGTTGCTAATGAGAATGTGTAAATTAGACGTCAGAATGATACAGCACTGGAGAAAGATTCCAGACCTAAAGCAGGAAGTTCTTGCACTGGCGACGGTAAAACTTGAGGTCGAGCACGCTTATTTCTTTGAGGAGGCTGGGTGTTTGTAGGTGTTGCTGTGACAAGCGGTTCTATTTCCCATGATGAAACCCTATCTGGACGCAAGATTGACGATGGTTCATCCCAGTGAACCTGAACAAGTAATATATACCATGTGCATTTGTTAGCTATCGTCTACAGGATAATGTAGCAAGGNGAACAAGTCATATATACCATGTGCATTTGTTAGCTATTGTCTACAGGATAATGTAGCAAGAAAAATGGAAAGAAAGGTAAAGACATGGTTACAGCAACAGATGACAACTCCATTTGCAAAATTCTATAATCCCAATACTAAACCACATTGTAGTAGAATCATGGCAATACAATAGTCTAAAGATGAAGAAAGGGGTAAAAGAACCTCATGTCAGACAAATAAATCGAAGTAGATATTGGAGAACACAATAACATTACGTGTAGAGCTACCAAGACTTGACAAACTAGACGGGTCGCTTTCCTTTCTATCTAGGGACACATATGTAAGAACATGGAATGTTGTTTATAGAGAAACAGTTCAAAAAGAGAGTGGATTGAGAGGAGTAAATTCGACGACCTCTAAACAGATTCCATCACCAAAATCGAGATTACAAAGAGGCCTAAAATGACCATGAACAACAAGCTGGAATGGTCACTCGAACAAATACAAATGAAAGTACCTTCAAGGATCTCCATTCAGAATCAGGCCATCTAGATGATGTATTTTCACCAACACCAACAATTGTTCCACTGAACCTATAAAACAGACAAAGTAGCCAAGCGTTAATTGAGTTTCAGCCCCTTAGTAATTTAAGTAATTGAGCAGAATGTAATACAGATATCTAAAACCTGCAAAGTTATTAAATTCTGAAGCTTTTACCTTCTTTCTGGAACTTCCTCACCCTCAAATCTCATCTTAAACCTCATCCCAACAGAAAGCTTGTGATTTCGTGCTTCAAGATATTTGTTCACACTGACAATGAATTCAGACTGACTAGTCCTGGAAATCAGCAGTTTTACTACAGTTTAAATTCACAGAGCAAGTGAAAGAATCTAGATTCAGAAGCATTAAAATTTTTGAAATGACTGCCAAGGCAATATGAACAAAGTATCAAAACATAAGCATACAGAAGCAAAAAACACTGGATGACGTTACTCAAGACCCTTAAAAGCTTAGGTCAATCACAATAATGCTTGCTAATATAATACCAGTCTGCTAAATAAAAAAATTCTTAAATCATAGTAAACAGAGATGGAACTGGAGAAACTAAATGATCACTGCACAACTAATTAATACAAGCAGTTATTGGTGCGGCCAATCTCAATAAGATATGACTAGCATGACCTAGATAGAACAGGTAACCAACAGTAAGCCCAAAGCATAAAAATTGACACACAGAGACAGGAAGCTCCAGCCTATCAAATAGAGACAAATTCTCAAAATGGAAAGGGAAAAAGGAACCACCTAGGCTTATAATACACAGAGAAGAGGGTCCCAGTCGAGATGGCATGAGATGCAGTTGCAAGAACACCCAGATGCATACTGTGACTTGAAATAACAGAAGATGGCATATTGTTTAGCTGTCTCATGAGTCTCCTAACACCAACTCGAAGCTCCCCATTCTCTCCCCTGTCGAGATAAATGAAGTGACGCAATTATTAAGGAAGAGAAATTTTATAAAACAAGGAAAATGACACTTCCAGTAAAATATGGCTGGATATACGTTACTCATAAACTTGCCTGAGAAAGATGAAAGCATCTCCAGCAACCAACTTTTTTGCACTGACAAAAACACTCCACCCAGTTGTGAGCAAGTGGCGCCTAGGTTGACCTGGACGTGGAGTCAACATTTATTAGGGGGAAAAGACTAACACAAGATTATACGCAATGAAAAAAAGAGTGTATACCATACAAACCATAGGGTTTGCACTCTAAAACGATAAAACACGAGTTATACAATACGGGTCTTAAATCTGATCTGAAGAACACAGAAAAAATGCAACACAACAAAGCTAAAAGACCTATAACCACGGAAATATCAAAGCAAAAAAATCATCCCTGGCCTGATATCCATTAAGGACTGACCGATACAAAAGGAGTCAAAGTCTCCCACTTAGACATCACACCCTGACAGAAGTATCACCCACTAGATTGAAAGTAAAAGTTCTCAATGAGTTACCCTTCTCCTCTTCCTCACACCCTTCATGAACAACTCTAAAGACCAACTAAAAAAAAGTTATAACAACAGAAAACAAACCAAAATAATTGGATTTATAACCTCGAAAAATGTGGCGAAAGTGCCATTCATTGCCATGTAGATCACTAGCAACCAATTCCTGCCATGGTGGCTGTTGGGTCATATCCTGGATATAAAGAAATTAACTACCAATGAGAACAATAAATAGATAGAGGTAGAGGAATTCAAAAGATGAAGCCAAGACAAGGCATAATTATGACATAAAAGCTTACCAGTGGGGGCAGGCATTCATCTGCATGCCTCCGAAGAACAGAGAACCCACCATGGGTGCTTGTATCAGATGCAGTAAGAGTCTTGCAAAACGAATGGACAGTGCACTTTTGAGGTTCAGGGAGAGGAGGATAAGGCCTTGTGATCTCGCCTTGCTAAATCCACAGAAGACAAAAGGAGAAGTGCAGGATGTTAAGAAAGAAAACAGTATGTTTCAGAAATGTTATATGATCAGGTAAAAAACTTCGATGATTTTAAGGGCGACACTTACATCTTGTTCAGGAAGCAGAGTTATCTGTGCATACACCTCATCGGTATCTGACTCAGCCTAAGATTAACATTGGTACTTATTACAATAATTCAACCATAGGAAGGGAGAACTAAAAGAAAAGGCCATTATGGCACTTACCCGAAGTTGAATATTCATCACTTTGCATAATATTTTAGCTGGCAAATTGAAAGAAGGAAGTTGTTGGTCTAATCCCTGATGTGTCGATGCTTCAAGCTGGAAAAAGATTGCAATCATATAGAAATGCAATGAGTTAGAGAGAAAAGAATATCATTAGATATCAAAACTCTGTCTGATGAAACTGTTGTAGAAAAAGCAACAAAAAAGGCAGTATGAAGCATCACAATATGATTGAGGGGTTCATATATCTTTCCAGGTTTGCACGAGAAAAGTGATATGTGCATATAAGACCTAAAAATAAAAGAGGAGCCAATAAAAATGTAAAAGGAAAAGGTACCTGTTCCATGTGACCCTGTGGGAAATAATAAACTATTTCCCCTTCACGAGGAACTGTTACAAGAGGTCCAGCACAGGCATGCCAGAGTTCCTTGTATAATGCCTCATTTGGAGCCACTACAGAAAGAATGAAAGATCAAACAACATTACTTTCACTTTTACAAGTAACACATTTATTGGTCTACGCAGTACGGAAGCAATGGGAATTGGCTACTAGCATGTAAATTTCATGCAATTGCAATAAATTGTTAATGTATAAAGGAAGAAGCACATAGGGGCAGTATTATGTGCATAGGATGAATACATAACTAAGCAACATGACCAAATGCAAGACTCGTATGAAGCAAGCCAGATGAGGACTAATTCAACAGAACTTGCAAATAACTGGTTCATGTCAGATGAGAAAGATAAATAGGTACAAGAAAAACAACATCGTGAGAGCTCCAAGCATAGGCAAATATTGGGAAAAAGAAACCATATACAGGTAGCTCATCAGCTTGATGAGTTCATTGATCCGCAACAGATACAGCATGGTACATGAATTTGGAAAAATAAGTGAGCAACATCTTGATATAGTTGAGCACAACATACTAGTCGTACATTATATTAACATAATTGTTTTTCAATTGAAAGAAGAAATAACTCAAACCTGGATGAGCCCCGCCACCGAAGTGATTTGCCGCAAGGTGTGCCATAAGAAAATCAATTTGAAGTCACCAACCCTTTACGTGATTATCTGTCTTCAGAAAATGAGCCACTCAAAGAATACCCGACAAAATTGACCAGATGAACTGAAAAAACCCCACAAAATCAGTATACACCAAGTAATAGTGAACAAATGCAGATATAACCTCCTAAACTCTAAAGCCTCGAAATAGTTAACTGTTGTTTGCTCTTCTTCAACAAATGTCCCAAAAAGCACAAAGTTATTACCCCCTCTTAAATAATCTGCATAACTTAAAGAATTGGGCACAATGGCCTGCGATGTAAACTAGACCCTCATTTACAGTAAACATGAGACTCTCCATATTGTAAAATATAAAGGCCTATCTTAAAGCCCTAACTAGATCCCAAAATGGAGATTCTAGAGCTCCAGCAGATACAAATTTTGTTCCCCAATTCACACAACATAAACGAAGATTGACATATAAAACATACATCAACCGTTCACAGAGGGATAAACATGAAAAAAACTAACAACTTGCACTAAAAACCCTGCAACCAAATACAGATCGAAATATTTAAGACAACTCCGAGATCTAACCCAAAACACAACAGCTCTGGCAGCAAAAAATTATATATGCATAGAGAAAACACCTAACCATATGGAAATTCAAAGGTTTCTATATATAACAGCATGAGCTTTCTATAAAACTAGAAGATATTAATCAAAAAGGAAAATAAAAACACAGAATCAAAATTCAAAGCACAAAAAAAGATTACCTTAAGTATTCAGCCGGATTTCTCTATTAGTCATCATACAGCACGGATAATACGTTCATTTCCATGTACAACACAATAAATAAATAAAAACTTAAAAATATCAGCACTCGGTCACAGAACAAAGGTTGAGCTATGAATTGATCGATTAGTTGAGCTAGTACACAGCTTTAATTAGGGTTTTCTCGTCTTCACAGAGAGTAAAGCTATGGAGGGAGGAAGAGAGAGAACTGGAGAGAGAAAATTGGTGATGGTCTTTGCCTGGCTGAAGCCGACAGTATTCCTTTTTGTTTCTCTCTCTACAAATATTCATGTATCTGTATTTGTAATTTTCTATTTATTTTATAATTTCTTTTTCGTTTCCACTTTTTCTTTTTCTTTGGGTTTATGTTGGGCTGTGTGGAGCAATGGTGTCAAGCGAGATAGACTTTGAACAGCAGCACCAATAATAATGATAGAGGGTGGTAGGGTACTAGGTGTGCACAATGTGTATTTGTAATTGAGGAAAAAATTACTTAAATTAATGTTTACACTAAATTCAATAACTATATAATATTTATCCTTTTTTCTGAATATAAAATATTTATCTTCAAATACATTATTATTATATTTATTAAGAAGTTCTAAATTATAGTACCCATTTTCATCTCAATCTATTATTTTATTATGATAAATTAATATGGTATGACGTAAATATTAGGTACGATTTATGTCTGCGTCAAAATTCGTGCAGATAAATTTGTATGAAGTTTTTGATTTTTGCAAAATCGGATTTTGAGACTTTAAAATATTTAAAGTTTTGAGTTTCAATATTTTAAACTTTTAATTATCATTTCAAGATTTGTCTCAAACAAATATTTTATGAAATAATCTCAAAATTTGAATTTGCATCAAAAACTCGAAACTTCAAATAAACACCAATCGATATATTAACTATCACTACTCACACTAATTTACTAAGAATATTTTTTGGAACTCTTTAGTCCGATGACGTAAGTCATGTCGATGGAGGACGAAGGTCAAAATTCAAAAAACTTTTCTATTTTTAATTTTTAAAAGTTTAAGAATGGATCTTAGTCATATTAAAATGTCCTTTTGTGCCTTCTTCTCCTAAGATGATTCAATTTTACTCGTTATCATTTATATAGAAATAAATAAGAGAATTAATTGCTCAAAAAGTGAGATCGTGAATAATTCAAGAGATTATAACAAATAAATGATGAAAATTATATCAAATCTCATACCTCTTATGGGGTCAGACACCGATTAGTTATCGAATTCAAGGCGAACACAATAAACCAACAGAAAAGCTTGATGCGGCGGAAAGCTTGATGAAAACCCTAAACGTTTTACTTGTATATATAGTAGCGGACTCACATACCCGAGAAGAATTTGAAGAGATTTCAATTATCTAACATTAATTTCATTCCATAGTTTTATCTATCATTTTGGCAATGATCTTTAAGACAAATCTGTAAATACGGTGCTTATTTTAGTCACTCAATAATTTTATCTGTTTAAATGGATATATATGAGTTTTATGTCATTTATATTATTTTATATACTAGCTTTAGTGTACGCGTATTGCACATGTACCTCGTCTTAATGAGTATTTATTTTTTTAAAATAACTTAAATTATTTTTTAAAATTGTGTTTAGATTATAATATTAAAGCATAAGCACTTAAAATTGATGAATGTTGCTCTTATATATTATAACTCAATAAATAAATAAACTCAGTCTCGTAAAAGTATTCAATAATCGTTCAATATATTCAACTTAATATTTATTCCAGTTTTATAATATTATGAGTTCTTTTCACAAGTTATCATACTTTTTTTTTAGTTTCGGCAAGAACACATAACCTTTGAAGATGTAAGAGTTTTTAAAAATATATATATGTGAATAACTATTCTCAAGTTCTTACAAGAAGACACGAAAATTGTTAGTTATACTTCTATTACCATTCTTTAAAAAAAAAAAAATCGAGATCACTTTGTTTTTTAAATAGTTGCAGGTTGAAGGATAAGAAACTCATATTCTCTATATTACTCGTTGGTAATACATTATGATTTCATGAACTTCGCTGCTTTTGGAACCAAATACCTTTCATTTAAGTGAGTTACTACTACAACAACAACAACCCAATATAATTTCACAAATGGAGTATGGGGAGAGTAGGATGTACGCAGCCCTACTCCTACCTGGAAGGGTTGAGAGACTGTTACCGATAGACCATCGGCTAAAGAAGGTGAAAGAAGTCCTGATAGCAAGTAATAGCAAGACAAATAATTAAAAAACTAAATCAAAGATAGCAACAGAGAATGTGAAAAGGGCACTGATAACAAGTAATAGCAAGATAATATATTTAGAAAACTAAATCCAAGGCAGCAAACGAGAATATGAATGAAGTACTGCTAGCAAGCTACGGAATTACCAATGGCAAGTAAAAACGGAACGAGGCATGCGAATATAGAAAACTAAGGGAAAAGGGTACCGTACTAACACTAATACTATTGAACTAGAGAAGACACGGGAAAACACACTACTACCTACTAACCTTCTACCCTAATCTTCAACCTCTACATCCTTCTATCTAGGGTCATGTCCTTGGTTAGCTCAAGATACACCATGTCCCGCCTGGTCACCTCTCCCCGAGGCTTCTTTGGCCTGCCTTTACCTCTCATCTTACCTCCCAAGGCCAACCTCTCACATCTCCTGACTGAGGCCTCTATGCTTCTCCTCTTAACATGCCCAAACCATCTCAACCTTGCCTCACACATCTTTGCTTCCACAGGGGCTACTCTCGCCTTGTCCTGGATAACTTCATTCCTAATTCTATTCAACCTAGTATGCCCACACATCCATCTCAACATCCTCATTTTCGCTACTTCCATCTGATAGACATGGGAGTTTTTACTGGACCAATACTCTGCCCCATACAATATAGTCGGTCTAACTACTACCTTGTAAAACTTATCCTTAAATCTCAATGGCACATTCTTATCACACAAGATACCGGAAGCGAGCCTCTATTTCATTCACCCTGCTCCGATAAAGTGTGTGACATCCTCGTCTATCTCCCCATCCTTCTGAATTATAGATCCTAGGTATTTTAAACTCTCTCTCCTGGGAATGACTTACGTACCGAGTCTTACATCCTCGTCTGCCTCCTGGGTAACACAACTGAACTTGCACTCCAAGTATTCTATCTTGATCCTGCTCAACTTGAAACCCTTAGACTCCAGAGTATGTCTCTAGATCTCCAGCCTCTCGTTAACACCACCTCGCATCTCATCAATCAGGACTATGTCATCCGCAAATAACAAGCACCAAGGCACCTCTCCTTGAATGTGACGCGTCAAAGAATCTATCGCCACGGAAAATAAAAACGGGCTAAATGTTGATCCTTGATGCAACCCCATCTCAACCGGAAAGTGGTCAGAGTCTCTTCCTAATGTCCTAACCCGTGTCTTAACTCCATTATATATGTCCCGAATCACTCTAATATACGCTACAGGCACTCATCTAGCCTCCAAACATCTCCATAGAACCTCTCGCAGGTCATAAGCTTTCTCCAAGTCAATGAACACCATATGCAAATTCTTCTTCACCGCCCTATACATCTCCACCAATCTCCTCACAATGTGAATGGCCTCAGTAGTTGACCGTCCCGGCATAAAACCAAACTTGTTCTCGAAAATGGATACACACCTCCTCAAAATCCCTTCAATCACCCTCTCTCACACTTTCATCGTATGGCTTAACAGTTTGATACCCCTATAGTTGTTGCAATTTTGGACATCCCCCTTGTTCTTGTACAATAGGATCATTGTACTCCGCATCCACTCTTCGGGCATCATCTTCGTCCTAAAAATGACGTTAAACAACCTTGCAAGCCATTCCAAGCCCTCATTACCCCATGCTCTTCCAAAATTCCACCGAGATCTCGTCTGGCCCAGTCGCTCTACCCCTACTCATCCTGCGCATAGCCCTTACAACCTCCCCCACTCGTATGCGTCTACAGTACCTAAAATCTCGTTGCCGCTCCGAGTACTCTAACTCCCCCAGTACAATTCCCCTATCTCCCTATTCATTCAAGAGCATATGGAAGTAAGACTGTCATCTCTGACTAATATGTGCCCCCTCCAATAAAACTCTTTCTTCCTCGTCTTTTATGCATCTCACTTGGTCCAGATCCCGGGCCTTCCGCTCCCTCACCTTTGCTAGCATGTACAACTTCTTGTCCCCGCCTTTATCCCCAATTTCTTCATATAAACGACTAAACGTCGCGGTCTTAGCCGCAGTAACCGCCAACTTCGCTTCTTCTTACCCTTCTTATACTCCTCCCTGTTAGCACTCTTTTGCCTTTCGTCTATACTCTCTACTAGCTTCAAATATGTCACTTTCTTGGCTTTCACTCTCCCTTGATCCTCTTCGTTCCACCACCATTCCCCTTTATGACTACGAGAAAAACCCTTTGAGACCCCTAACACCTCTCTCGCCGCCTCTCTAGAATAATTAGCTGTCATAGACCACATATAACTCGAGTCCCCGCTACTCCTCCAGGCCCCCATAGCCAGCAACTTCTCCCCCAACTTTTGGCCCTTGTCCTTAGTCAATGCACCCCACCTGACCCTAGGTATACCAGACATAACCCTCTTCTTCCTCGTCTACCTGATCTCTAAGTCCATAATCAAAAGCATATGCTGGGTAGTAAGATTCTCACTCGGGATGACCCTTGCAATCCGTGCATAAACCTCTATCACATTTCCGAATAAGTAGATAATCAATCTGGGTCTTGTCCATGTACTCCGAAAAGCTATCAAGTGCTCTGCCTTTTTCGGGTAACACGAGTTAGCGATCACCAGCTCAAAAGCTTTAGCGTACTCCAGTAATGAAGTACCTCCTCCGTTTATGTTTCCAAAACCGAAGCCACCATGCACACTGTCGTATCCCCCAGACGACCTCCCAATGTGGCCGTTAAAATCACCCCTATAATAAGCTTCTCGGTGGACGGTATACCCCGCACCAACCCATCCAAATCTTCCCAGAATCGTTTTCTAATCTCCTTGTCCAAACCCACCTGAGGCGCGTAAGCACTAACTACGTTCAGAGTATACTCTCCCACGACTAAATTAATAGCCATCAATCTGTCATTCACCTTTTTGACCTCAACCACTAGCTCTCTTACATCCTTATCAACTAAAATGCCTACCCCGTTCTTCCCTTTCACCCTCCCTGAATATCACAACTTAAACCCGTCAGCCTCCCGAGCCCTGTTCCCCACCCATCTAGTCTCCTCGACACAAGCTATGTTAATCTTCCTCTTATGGAGAATCTTTGTTAACTCTATAGACTTCCTCGTTAGAGTCCCTATGTTCCATGACCCCACTATTAACCTAGAAGGTGCCTTACCCCTCCCCTCCCC